GTGATGTGATGCTCATCAAAGGCCAGAAAAAAACATTCAGGCCAGCAGAGCAGTGTCTTTAAAGTAGATCTGGCTCAAAGAGACTCAGTCACGACACACCCTGTGCATGCACGTGCATGCACACATGGCTATGAACCTCACTGGAAGCCTTTTCCCTCACTCTTTGAAGTTAGCTGCAGCATTTACAAGAGACGCTCTCCGCTCTTAACATGGGCCAGCTTTCCAAAACAGCCTCCCTGGTAACCTGAAAGCTGGCTTGATGGGAAAAAAAACCCCATACATAGTTGACCGCCCTCTCGCATCATGCACACGCACACACAAATTTAACACAAAGGTAGGATTGTGAAAAAGCTTTGGTCTTGGTGTTCGCGGCTGATGACATTTCTAGTGTGGGAAACGTTGTTTTGTTTCTGGGTGTGTAACTGTGTGCCCTAAAAAGAAAATAAGTGCTCGAAAATGTAATCTTCTTTTCCATTTTTCTGTCAAACTGCGTCAAAAGACTGTTTGACGACAGTTCTGATGCATGAATCGAATCTAAGGTCAACTAATATTTCTGGCTTTCTAAGGAAAAGCTGCCATTATGCAATATTTTATGACTGTCTCCACCCCATCTGAAGCAATCAGCTGCAAGCTCCGTTCTTGCTCAACATAATCTGTAAAAATAGGTCACAAATACATAGCTCCATTTTATGGCAAATGTGTGTGTGTGTGTTTTTGTTTTTCCTCTCATTACTCAGCAGCAGCACTGAGGGGCACTGGGATTACAGTTCGGTTTTAAAAGCCAAATAATCTAGTTAATTTTTCACTGTTTGCTTTTCACTGTTTATATAATTAAACATTTTTTTAACCATATTTCTCTTTTCCTTTAGCTGCCACAAAATTTAAATCCCTGCTGGATTTGGTTTCCTCACGTCAGCGCACATGTGCAGCTATGGTGCAGAGAGAAGCAGCAAGAAAAGCCTTGATGAAAACATGAAGCAAAATTTTCATGCACATAGAAAGCCAATGCAATGACGGGGCATTGGCACAAGTTGAGCAGGGCAACAAAAATGGAGGTGAATTCCCGTTTGCACGAGTGAAACTGTCACTGATGTGTTTTATACAAAAATGGGGATCCAAGAAACAAAGTTCATGTTTACATAACCTTACAGTGGCCTCTGAAGTGTTTGTTCTTACCTTCAACCTTAGGCTTTGTTTCAGCAAGACGCTCTGCAAACTTCTTCTTAAAGAACAGAGCCTGCAGTCTCTGCTGGTAATGGTCAATTCTGTTGAGGAGAAAAGAGTGACAGAGGGGGAAAAAGGGGGGAGGTGAGTTACATCTGTCTCCAAGGGAGTCCAAGTTCAAAGCTAGAAGTCACTCAACTGTGCAAAACTCCCTCTCTCAGTTTTCACTGCATTATCATCCAATAAGCGCCTATCAAAATGGAGAGTTGACAAATGGATTTGTTAAACTTGCTCAAAAGTTCACCAAAGGAGGGGGTGGGGGGGATTTCAAAGAGGGACTCAGGATATTAAATTGCAAAAAAAGGAACTAACTAATTCCCAGATGTGTTCCGCAGACCAGCGGATATGTGGTCAAAAGGGTAGTAGCAGAGGAAACAAAGCAGAAAGGTGATATTTCATTAAAAGGAAACAAACAGATTTATCTGTCTGGAAAAAAAGAGTTCTGAAAACAAGAACAGCATCCAGGAAAAAGGCATTGATTTATGCATTGGTGTTACTACAGTTGTCAAAACAAGACTAGTTTCTTCAGCTAAAAAAATGAATCACACCCAAGCTTGAGGCTTGTTTGGGATTCCACCCTTGTCTCCGTGCATTGAAAGCTATCAATTTAGCACCCATTCCCTGACTGGATGATCTTTTCATTTTGCATTAAATCTGTTGCAGCTTGTTAGAAATTAAGTTCCTTTAAAATTAGTAAATTAAAACTGCAGTGAAACATATGAATTATACGCCTAACCTAGCATGGATGTTGTTACCTGAAGCCGAGTATCACACTATGCTTACCTGCTCATCTCAAAGAGGAAGCGATCAGCCCGGGCCATCCTCTCCAGCTCATGTTTGTGCTCCTCCAACAGGTCGATATCACTTTTCTCTGGGACAAACTTCAAAAGCTAGAAAGACAACAAGAATCCAAAAGTTCACGCAGAAGACTGTTGGCAGCATTTTAAACGACAGAATCGGGTCTGTTTTAATGCCATGCAGCAACAATATTTAACAATAGATTGTAGCTTTGTGCCTTGTGTACAGAGATTTCACAGGCTGCTCTTAATCTAATCATGAAATTAGCAACTGTAGATAATCTGCAAATTCTTCTTTATTTTACATTTAGACACATTATTGTTAAACTCCATGCAGTGAACAACATCTCATTTTTTTTTACTTCTACTCTTTGCGAAATGTTTCACCGTGTTATTTTACTTTACAATAATGCACCAATCCCAAATAAATATATCATTAAGATTTACTCACTATTGCATTCTGCTTTTATTCACTTTTTTTTTTTTTTAACATTGTCTCAGACTCCTTTGAAGCTTGATTATCATCAATAATTACATTTTCTTTCCATAATAAAGCAAGTATAGGGACATTGTTTTGACCCAACCAGTCACAAAAAACCTGAAAAGCTTATTTTCACTGGACCATACCTGCTCCAGCATATCTTTAGCAAGCTCTTCTCTCTCATCCATCTCCAGGATTGCCCTCTTGATTTCTTCATTGCTCATTTTTAATCTAAAGAGTAAAAAAAAAATCTTTATTACAGTAAAAGAATTACTAGTGGACTAGCTCATTGCTCATAATACCAGCCTGGACCAGTGACAAACCCCGGGAACACTGCCAGCTGTTTTCAGTGCATCTGATCACTGAGCCGGGTTGCAATCAATAACAGCATTGTTACTCTGTGCAGCAAACCCTTATTGACCAACTGCCGACCTCATTTGGGTCTAGTCTGTAGCCCAGGGTCATTTGCTATTGACACGAAAAGGAGTTCAGGGACCACGCTGATGTTTTGTCAGACACACAAAGAGCTCAGAAAGCATATGTATTGATCTGTAGAGGGGGTAGAGCTTAAATTCTCAAAAGGGCTTCGGACCAGCGCTATTAGGAGACAGACAAATAGGAGCCATATTGCCAAGTGGATCTTAAATGATGACAATTGATTCAGGTTCAGATGCAGAGGGATTCAAAAGCCCTTGGGTGGGGGACTAGGGTTGAATAAATGCAAGTTAATATAATGTAAGCGACTCAATGTAGAGTCTGCTTGTAGCTGAATGTGTAATAATAGACCAAATTTTCACAGTAGAAATCAGAACATTA